CACACACACACACACACACACACACACACACACACACACACACACACACACACACACACACACACACACACAGCAAGAGATTTTATGGAATATAGTAAATTGCACAATTCCAAATTTTAGTCAACAAATTTAACTATTATTTATTGCATAAATCTGCTGAATTACCATAGTAGCAAAGGGATAATGCAACTTTATAAAGTTGATATTGTAAAGCATGCTAACAGCTAATGTGTCCAATATTCATTTTACACTGAGCTCACTTTTGGTCTCCACCATTGCATGAAAATGTGTCTAGGTCTAGTTTGTGGATGCTCAACTATGTGCACTTGCTATTTTCTTTGTGTCATTTGCTGCTGTGTAATTGGATTTATCTGAGCTTGTAAACCAAATGACACTAAAATGCTCCACAACACCGAGAGGAATAGCAGTGCAGTGTATTTGTGGGTTCATGATTTCTAGGGATGTCTTTCACATTACGCACAGTTGGTGCTGCTGCTTTTCAGTATTGCAAATCAAACGTCTTTAGGGTTTAGACTGACTAATCTGAAGAAGTTGTATTGCAGTATTTTGGAGGGTTTTTTTACATGGTTTTTTACATGTGATACTTTTTTTTTTAATATATTGTTATAGTTACTCTGTGTGACATATGTTGCATACTCTATATATTGCGTTTTCACTGACTGCAGTAGCGAGGAAAGAAAGTGACTCGATTACCTGCCATTTCATTTCTTGTGACTCCTTTGTGCATAGGTAGGCAATCTAATTACAGCGTGGGAAGGACAGACTCTTCACTCCAATAAATTTGTACTAATATAAGGAGGATTTGCCTTTGATACTGGCATTTGATTTGATTTCTATAATCACCTTATGACACTGATACAATATGTGTTGCAGTTAAAAAGCGCTACCTACAAATGTCTAATTAGACCATAATATATCCAAGATGTGTATATTGTCACGTATCGGGGAACCCGAATCGTTCTGTTTCCTAATAAAAATTTTCCACGGAGCACATTTGCAAAACTCAACCCAAACTTATTAATGCCCCTCACTCATTAGATTGAACTCAAGCCCAGGGCTTTGTGAAATCAGAGCTCATTAGAAGAGTCCACCTCATTATGAGTGGCCAGATCCATCAGGAGAGATAAAGCTCCCGCTCTTCGCTGACTGAGATCCAGTCAAACACACCCGCAGCGCTTCAGACCACATGTGAACAAGATATTTGCTTTGAAGCGCCAACACACGGATTCGAATGAGCGTGTCAGAGCGCCAAATGTCCTAGGTTGCAAGTGACAGGGGATCCGCTTTAGAGCTGGCTACCTGTTGAGGAGGATTAAACAAAATACAGATGGTGTTTACATATTAAGCAAACAAAGGCAGGCTCTGCTCTGATGATGACAGGAGAGTGCTTTCATCATTTTAAAGTAGAACATTTTGATTTGTTGTTGTGACGCACTGCTTCTATACCTTTCCACGAGCCTCCAGAGTTTCACATTTGAGCAAGTGGCTGCAGATAGAAAGTCCTGAATGATGTTTCTGTGGCTCTGAGATCACCTCTGAAGGACGAAGGCTGCTGAGTGTCCGTCCGTGTACTCCAGCCATCAACACAACAGGAGCCCAGCGCGGTCTGATCCACCGCGGGTCGACTTGAATAAATTAAATGAATTACCAGCTGCCTCGTGCAAGTTCGCAGGATGCAGGGTGGCATGAGCACGCCATTACAACAATGATAAGGATATCTGCACGGCCTTGTGTTAAAGGAATTACGCATAGCATCCAGAGCCTCTAAGGGAGTGTGACAGTTTTGCGCACACTGGCAAGTTAGTATGACATGAAAATGTGTGTGGCTGCAGAACAGCACGGCTGCCACGTGGCCTGAGTCAGGGGCACGGAGCGCTCGCTGAGAAGTCAAAAAAAATGGAATCTTATTGTGATGCAAATGGACACCGTATTGTGCTTAAACAATGCATTAATCTGTCCCCTATTTGTGAAGATAACATCAGAAGACGCACAGTAACACAAAATGATGTCCTGCGAGGTTATTTAAAGCGATATGACATCACATCCTGACACTGCGAGAAGTGCTTACTGCCCGTCCGGCTGGTTTTGTCTTCAGCTTTGATAAAAACTGATGAAGGATAGAACGCTGCTTTTGAGTCCCGGCCGCTATATTGGAGAGTCGATTTACATAATATTATGTATATTGTATTCCGCTGCGTCCTAATGTTTGAAAGTAAACTGAATTTAAGTGTTCAGCGGCTGGAAGAAGTGTTAAACGCAGGACACGTGGCGAGGTGTCCGATAGCTTTGTCTTCTACCTGTAATCTGATGCCGCGTGGAGAGGAGGGATCGGCCTCACTTCCCCTCAGAGTGATTTATGATTGAGGACATGTTAATAAAAATATCAAAACAATCTGAGCTCTGCTGGGGAAGATACCGGTCTGCTACGTACATCATGCTCGACAGGTCCATGCAGGGAATCGCCTGCTCGGTGATATTATGCTCATATGGATGCCCCGTTGCCCTGCTCTTGAATAGAATATGCAGCTGTTGTTGGGGGTCGGTGGGGGAAGTACTACTCACACAAGGTGACATTTGCATGAATGTATGCTCCTTGAGTGCAACTCTCTGCTCAATAGGTGAAGCTCCTCTTTAAAATCTTATGTCAACGCTTGTATGTACCTATCAATCCATCAGGACGAGTTAAAAGTCATTAAATTTTGAGCTGCACGGGTCGCCTGCCCTTTTCAAGAGCACAGTGTGCTGTCATTTGACAGCCGGCGGTACAGGAGTGAAGAACACGCCGCTTTTACTGAGTAAACACCCATTTAAAATCTGCTTTTCCTAAAGGATTCATGTGTGAAATCACTGGAGAGACACGGCCCAAATTGTTCATTAAATGCCCTCAGTGGCTGAATGAAACCATGTAACTGCCACACCACCACCACAATCCCCTTTGATGGATTTATATCGAGTATGGGCGTGGACGCGCTGTAATTTAGTATGTGTTAGGAGCTGCTGCCGAGATGTAGCCGTAACACTCACTCAAATCCACTTCCAATATCCCTGTTCCTGAAATCTCAATGATTTTCTGTCTCTGCCCGAACACAGAATCATCACAAAGCACACCGTCAAACAGAAAATATTCTGAAACATGAAATCTTCTCCACAAACGCATTGGTGTTGTTGTCAGAAAGCACACGGTGCATTGATGCTGCTACGCTGTGAAAAACTTTAGTGAAGGGGGTGAAAGAAAATGCTATAATAAGCATCGTGGATGTTGTCAGGTGCTTTAATACAGCAGATTGTTTCTTTCACTAGTCTCGCCGGGTCACTGGCTCCCATACGCGCACTGCTGGGTGTAGCAGC